TAAGTGTTCAGTGTTTAAGTCTGTTGATTTGTTAGTGTGACAGTTAGTATTGTTATTATCTATGAAGTGGGGATATTGTCTTATAAGATTGTCATTGGAATAAGGAAATAATGTGTGTCTGGCATACAAAAGTATTTCCTGAGTGTTAGCTCCCTGTTTTAATTAGCTTTTTCACTACTATGACTAAAGGATCTGACCAGAACAACTACAGAGGAGGAAAAGTTTATTTGAGATCTCACGGTTTTCAAGGTCTTAGTCCATAAAAGGCCTGCTCCATTCCTTGAGGCTCAAGGTGAGGCTGAACATCATGGTGGGAGAGGGTAGCGGAGGAAAGCAGCTCACATCACCGTGATCTAGAAGCTGAGAGAGACTCCACTCTCCAGATATAAATATATACACCAAAGCTGCACCCTAATTCCCACCTCCTCTAGCCACAACCTACCACTCAGTTAATCCCTTTTGGGGGATTAATTCACTGATTGGGTTAAGACTCTCTCAACCCAATCATTTTGTGAGCTTTTGGGGGACATCTCACATCCAAACCATAACACTTATCTTTTTTTTTAATGCTTGTGTTCATCATATAAATATAATGCACCTGGATTTGGGATGGTTATACGTAAAGACCTTGAGGCAGGGGGAAAGGTGTGTGTGCTGTGGGTGTCCTGCATCATCCTGGAGTCTGACTCACCTCTTTGTCCAGTAGTACCGTTTCTCTGTCGTGACTGGAATGAACATTCTTTTGGTCTGGATTTTCCTCCTTATGTTGATGGCCAGCCAGGCATAGATAGCCCTGCCCCCCTGTGCTGGTCGTGCAGCTTTGTACATCCATGCAGAATTGCTTCAGCAGTTTTGTTGCTTTGAATACAGAATAGAATGAGATCTGGATTTCTAGAATAACAATACTCATGCTTATGGTAACATCAAAACATAAATAATGCCTAGAAATGGGAGAATGCCATAGAGCACATTCAGCAGGTAGTAAGTGCCTAGATGTTAGCCACTCTTCTTTATGATGGAGGAATAAACCTGGCACTTTGTAGATTAGTGGGCCTTTTGAATTTTAGCCTCAGTCATAATCAGTGCTTCCCAAAGTATGGTTTTTGGACCTCCTTATTCATTCATTCATTTATTTTTAGCCCTTTTTATTTTTCATTTTGAGATAGGGTCTTGCTAAGTTTCTGAGGCTTGCTTTAAACTTGTGACCCACACCTGATGAATATTAATTTTTATCAAAATTCCCATCCTTGACTTCCTGTCTCTTCAGTACCCTCCAGGGAAATGGAAGGGGGTGTAAATGTGTTCTGCTACAGACTAAAGGCTGATAGTTGTTTTGAGGAAGCTCTTGTGTGATTTGAGTCAGAAGCTGAACATTGTTTTCATGGAACCCATTTCTGTTTGAAAGAACCCTGACAAACTGTGGTCATTTAGACTTGTGGATTTGGTGGGGATTTACTTTGTTGTTTGAAGGAAGACAACTGGCTGGGCGTGGTGCTGCACGCCTGAAATCCCAGTGGCTCCAGAGGCTGAGGCAGGAAGATCCAGAGTTCAAAGCCAGCCTCCACAAAAGTGAGGCACTAAACAATTTAGTGAGACTCTGTCTGTAAATAAAATACAAATTAGGGCTGGGGGTGTTCCTCAGTGGTCCAGTGCCCGAGTTCAGGGTTGGGGGTCCCCAACTTCTGCTACCCCAAAAAAGAAAGAAAAAGAAAACAACTGATAATGTTTCCCAGTGCTAAGATTTGAACTTTGAAGTAAAAATTAGAAATTTTAAAAATCTGCTGTGATCACCATGAGCCTCACATTTTCTTTGTGCTTTAAAGGCTTTTCTTAGGACATGGATGGTGATATTAATTAATGTAATTTTAAAAAAATATTATATAATGAACTGTCAATATATGGAAGGTCTTTAAAACTCAGTGAAGCAATATTTTCTATATAACAATTCATGACATTGAAAAATCATGTTTGAGTTAGAAGATCCATTTAGAGGGCAAAAGAGACCTTGGATTTATCAAAAAATTATTAAGGTTTTATTAACTGATTGATTACAGCACTGGGGATTGAACCCAGGGGTGCTCTACCACTGAGCTGTAGCCACATCCTTTTTTATTTTTTATGTTGAAACAGGGTCTTACTAAATTGCTGAGGCTAGCCTCTAATGTTGTAATACTCCTGCCTTCCTGAGTAGCTGGGATTATAGACATGTGCCACCACATCTGGCTTCTGTTATTAAGTTTTTAGAATCACATTGTACATAGGCCTTTAAGAAAATCTCTTGTTGAATTTTGGTGTAATGTCAAAAATTTGTCAAGGTAGATTCTTCCCTTCTTCAGTTCAATAGCTGTATGGGGTTGGCTTTTCTTTATATGCTTTAGATAAAACAATTTACTTGCTCAAATTGAAGGAAAAAAAGTGAATCCTGCTTTCCTGGGAAGTCAGTAACAGGATTTGCAACATTGTAAAACAATGCTTATGTTTTTGCTATTTTTTAAGTACAGTTACTTTTCGTAAATATGTATTATTCTTGTTACTGTTTAATTGGATTTTTTATTAACAAATAAATATTTGTAATTTCTCAAAAAACTTAAGTCCTTGGTATACTTGGTAATTTAATGAGTGTAAAATAGTCCTCACATCAAAATGTTAAAGAATTGCTGTGTTAGTATGTAAGAAAATGTAGTGAGTTCATCATAATGATGATTAAGAATATTTCCTGCAAGCCAGGCATAGTGACGTGCCTGTAATCCCGATGGCTAGAGAGGCTGAGGGAGGAGGATCACAAATTCAAAACTAGCCTCAACAACTTAGTGAGATTCTGTCTTAAAACATATAAAAGAAGGTGGGGGCCTGGGGGCTGTGGCTCAGTGGTTAACTGCCACTGGGTTCAATCCCTGGTACCAAAAAGAAGACAATAAAAGAATATTTCCTACAGGCTGTTGCTATTATGTTTAAGTATTACTTTCTGATGTAATTTTATAGTTTAGTGGTCTAGAAATGTTCATGAAGCCAAGGAACTTTTATTTTGTTCTAAGAGGATAAATAGTAGCAGGCAGGTAATTTACCACACTGTGAGGACACAAAGTATGAATTTAATCTCAGCACTTATCTCTAGAAGTTAATAGTCTCATAGTGGGTGGAGTTAGGAATGCCCAAATTAAAGCATCCCTCCCTCCTCTTCGAGGCCTCCTACAGTAAAGCAGGACCCTGCCATGGAGCCTTCCCCTGTCCCCAGGAATAGCAGTTTCTAACAAGCATGAACTGCAAGGGTTCTGTGCATTCAGCTTTCTCTAATGGGATGTGTTGCTTTCTGCCTTTTAATAACTTTGGCCTAAGAAATATTTCAACATTTATTCTGTATTCTGTAGTCCCTGGTTACAGTAGGGCATGCCAATGTCCACTCTTCAGATTCTAATCATGTTTGCAAATAAAATTGTTATATCCTCTGCTATAAAACTTTCTAATTCCTGCACATACCTAGTAAACAATCTACCTTCCAGCTTCTTTTTTTTTTTTTTTTTTTTCTTCCAGCATGCCTATCTTCTAAAGAAAGGAAGGTGGCTGGTGTAACAAAGTCAGCCCTTGGTACAGGTTCTTCTCCCACTGTGGGATCTTCCTCTTGGCCTGCCACTTGGCCAGGAACTCTTGAGAATTTGCCACTTTAGAGATTGTTTCTACTTAATGTCTAATTTTCATAACAATCTTTAGTGTTTTTGTACTGTTGCTCCTGAAATGTCTTATGTTTGTAATTAGAGGGTTTGGGCCTGTTCTGGTCTTTGGGGGATGGGTACTACTTCCCCAGCTGACTGGACTATGTGATTCAGGACTGGTCCACATGTCTTCCTCTCTTTGTTTCTTTCTTCTCTTCCTTTGTCATGTCTGCTGCCAAAACAAAGCTCTTCATGAAAAAAAATTATTGAGTTAAAAGAAGAGAGTACTGGACCCAAGGACCCTAAAGGAAATAGTGGTTTTCCAAAATTCATTTTGATAAGTTAAAACAATGGGGATGAGTATCATATCTATGGGGGGAAAACAAGGGACTGGGCTCTTTCTTGGGTTCTTTGTAGAATTGTGTTTTTCAGACCAGTTCAGGGCAGCAAGTAAGAACAAGCAGTTTTCACTCTTTAAAAAGCCTTTTCTTTCATTCTGCTGAAAATTCAGTGGCTCTTATAAAAACAGAGCCTTGTCACTGGCATGGAAAGGGATTTCCTGAGATAGGCCACAGATAGTCGTGATTGCAGGTTGCAGGTTCCAGAGAGCTCTGGGAGGGCAGGATTTCCTTATCTACCAGTATACACACAGTCAGTGCCCTGTGTAAAGCCTGGGACAAAAAAGATACCAGTAAATACTTTATAAAGAGCTGGGCACAGTGGCACACACTGGTAAGCCTGCTACTCGGGAGGCCAAGGCTGGAGGATCACAAGTTAGAGACCAGCTTCAGCAGTTTACCAAAACCCTATCTCAAAATAAATAACATAAGGACTAGGGGGTGTAGCTTAGTGGTAGCACCCCTGGGTTCAATCCTCAGCACTCTAAACAATAAAGACAAAAACCAAATACTGTGTGAAAGAATGGAAAGAAGAAGACATCTGCATGCTGTGTGAAGAGGTGACATGGGGCTAAATGGGCAGAAGATAAATGAATGCTTTACTGAAGTAGCAGCCTTTTAAAAGCCCAGATGGTTTGGATTGGAGCAGTGGGGGAGAGGGTCACAAGGGTAGTGAGAGTGGCCAAGGTTAAAGGGAGCTGTGCTCTTACCATCTTCACCTGTTGGGCTCAGTCCCTCATTTCTTTTTCTTCTTTGCTCAAATCTCACTTTATGAATAATGCTTTTTCTGACTTTTCTTTGTACAGGAGTATAAAAATATTTTATCTTTTGCCATCTATTTAATTTGTTGGTACTTATTGCCTGATCTATGCTTTGCTTTTCTCTAATTAGAATATAAGTTCCAAAAACATATTGATACTGTTTTATAATTTGCTTTATCCCCAATATCCAGGACAAATCCTGACTTATGGTAGGTATTAAACAAATAATTACTGAATAAGTGAATAACCAAATGATCCAGGGCATGTTGTAGGAACTATCAGTTATCTCATTTGTGTTCCTTGAAGTTTGTGGTAGGGCACCCAGAAGAAATGTTTGCCCATAGGAATGTCTGTGTATGAGACATGAGATAATGACAGTTCAGAAAGATACTCAGGTCGGGAAGCTGCAGCAATCAGGTCTTGGGAAGGAAAAGGAGTTAGAGATGTGGGGTGGGAGGTGCATGTAGGGGCAACATTAGAAATACTGGGAAAGTGAATTCCTCAAGTTATTCCTCATTTATTTGAAGTAAATTACTTTCCTTGAAAGATATGTGAATGTTTATGTCAAAATGCCATTGTGTATATCTAATCTAATCTATTATTTTCATGACAGGAGGCTGAACAGTACACAAGGGGAGATTCGTGTTGGACCCAGCCATCAGGTAAAATACATTTTAGTAGCTTCTTTTAGAAGGTTTTTAGTCCTTACATTTTTGCTAGAACTTTGTTTTTTGAGCAGTGATCAAACTGCTATGTGGGATTTTATTCAAATACAGAAGTTTTCTTTTCAGATCCTCACCTACTTTTTAAAAAAAATGTGATAAAATATACATAATAGGAGATTTACCATCTTAACCATTTTTGTTAAAATTTTATTTTTTAGTTGTAAATGGACACAATATCTTTATTTTTATGTGGTGCTGAGGATCAAACCTAGTGCCTCCCATGTGTGAGACAAGTGCTCTACCACTGAGCTATAGACTCAGCCCTCTTAACCATTTTTTAAGTGTGCAGTTTAGCAACATTAAGTACATTATTGTTGGCAGCCACACCACTATCCATCTCCAGAACTCTTCACCTTGCAAAACTGAAACTCTAGGCCCATTTTGCAGTAAATCCCTGTTCCTCTCTCACCCATGTCCCTGGCAGCTGCTCCTCGACTTCCTGTCTCTGTGTGTTTGACCACTCTGCCTGGTAGAAGCAGAGTTGTATAATGCTTGTCTTTTTTTGACTGACTTATTTCACTTAGCACAATGTTCTGGAGGCTCATCCATGTTGTAACATGTAACCAAATTTCTTTTCTTTTAAGGCTGAATAATACATTGTATGTGCATATCACAATTTGTTTATACATTCTTCCATTGATGAACATTTGATTACCACATACAATTACATAAAAAGATTTTGTGGGGATTGACCATGAGCCTTAGGCATGGTAGGCCAACACCCTATTACTGAGCCACATTCCTCCTCATCCCCCTGAAAAGGGTTTTTTCAACACCTTTTTCTGCAGATAAGTCAGGATGGGTAGTTCTTTTCAGTTGGCAGCTTATTGTGTTGTGAACTCTGCCACTCGAGTCTTATATAGTTCACTGAGACTCTTCCGCTTTCAACCCTAATATCAAGTAGGGTGCTCTGACAGGCAGGATTCTGGCTCATGGATCAGCATGTCCTGGGCAATGCAGATGTGGGCTCTATTGGGCTTCCCTGCAGTTCTCATAGTGTTTGTTGGGTCCTCAGGCTGGTAACTGTGTGTACTGATTCTGAGATGCACTCTTTTCCTTCACATTTTAGCTCTGCTTTTGGACTTCATTGTACACTGGATTGTGTGATTGTAGTTTCATGCTGCATTTGTCCTTTCTCTAGCACGTAAAATAATAGTCATTCTTAGCATAAATGAAACACAGCAAATTCTAAGAGGAAGAAAGGGGCTTTCTTCTTTTCCCTTAGGAGCAAGGACAGTTTCTTCAGAATGGCCTGCCTCTCATTGCTGTGGATTTGGTCATGTGCTTCTTTCTAAAGCAGGAGGAAATGGGAATGCCATGGTTATGGCTTAATTGAAGTAATGTTGGGGAGCCAGCCCATCAAATTTAGGGAAGGGAGATACAGGCAGAGGGTATAGAGATTTCAAGTGTCTCCTGCTTTATTTTTTGGTTTTGATTTTGAGCATTTTTTTTTTTTTGGTATGCCATTCACATTTTTTATAAGAATCCAGTTCAAGGGTATAATGAGAAATTTTAAAACCCAGACACAGAAACTATTGGGGCATATAAGTTTTAGAAGACATTTCTCATCCTTGAACTGGGATAATAACTGAGAGGGCAAAAAAGAAGCTGCAGGAGGACACTTTGATAATGACTGCCTGTTCAGGTGACTGGGGACCCAGTACTTGACTGGCTGTACTCAGTGACCTCCCTGTCTTTGCTTTCTCGTGCATTCTCTCCCACTATGTATTGCCAGCACTGAGACATCTCTGTAGTAGAGTTATTTTATAGACTTCTTGCTATAACAGAAAAAGTGATTTCTAAGTAAAAGATAGTGAGCTCTTACAAAAGAAGCAAATTTACTATAATGGAGTTTATTTTTTATACTTCATTTAAAATCAGATGTTTATTTTATATCAGATCTTTTTGTAAACATTTATTTATTTTAGTTGTAGATGGACACAATACTTTTATTTTATTTGTTTATTTTTATGTGGTGCTGAGGATTGAACCCTGGACCTAGGTGAGCACTCTACTGCTGAGCCACAACCCCAGCCTTTATATCAGATCTTAAATACATTATATATGATTTTTAAAAATATCTTTATTTTATTTATTGTTATGTGATGCTGAGGATCGAACCCAGTGCCTCACATTGCTAGGTGAGTGCTCTACCGCTAAGCCACAACCCTGGCCCGTATTCTATATGCTTTATTTTCAGGAAACACCAATATAACAGGACACTTAGGAATTGGTGACCTTTACCTTCTTAAAATTTTTTACTTTTTAAAATATATTAACAGATATAAAAGCAGAGGAAAAATAGTACAATGAAGCCCTACTGTCAGTACTTGGGACTCAGACTACGTCCTAGTCAGACTTCTTTTGTTTATTCTCACACCTTTTTCCTACCAGTATTTTGAAATGAATCACACACAAATATAATATCTTAATTATTGATGTTCCAAAGAGAAGGGCTCTTTTAAAAGACAAATCAGAATATATTACACAAATAAAAATGATCAGTTTCTTAAAATGCAGGTGTCTACTGGATCCAGGTGTCCCTGTTTGTCTTTTTTCTTTCTTTCTTTTTTTTTTTTTTTTTGTAGTTCAAATTAGAAACTAAGTAAGAGCCATTTGCTTTAATTGCAATTGATTGATATGTCTCTTGAATCTCTTTTTAATCCACAGGGTTCTCTCTCCCATCCCCTTTCTCAAGGTGTATGTTGGAAAAACTATAGGTTTTCTATATGATGTCTGACAGTCTAGATTTGACTCATTGTTTTTGTACCATTTAACTTTTTCCTTTGTCTTTTGCAATTCTTGATAATTAGCAGTTGAATCTAGAGATTTAATCACATTCTAGTTTAGTACCTGCCTTCTGCACGAATACATCATGAATAGTGAAAAGTATTTCTACCAGGAGGCTGTTGATTATTTCTTAGATCCATTATTTTATTAGGGACTTTCAAAATGGTGATCATCTAATTCTGTCTATTCATTTATTTGCTAACTAAACAAAACTTCCTCCTTATCAACTGCTTGATTCCTTCCCTTGTCCCAGTTTTCAAAATACAGAGTTGACTTTATATCATCTTCAGAGGTTACCAGTGGATTTAAAATTAGTTATCTTTTTAAAAAATATTTTCCCTTAGTTGTTGATAGATCTTTATTGTATTTATTTATACGTTGTGCTGAGAATCTAACCCAGTTCCTCACACATGCAAGGCAAGTGCGCTACCGCTGAGCTACAGTCCCAGCCCCCAAATTAGTTATCTTTAATCAGTTATTTTTGATGATTAAATGATCCATTTTGAGCCTACTGGAGCTTCTTCCTGCCACTGGTGTTCTTTGGACTTGATCCTGGTGGTTTTGGGATGGGTCTTTTTTATTTGGTTGTGAAATAATTTTAATGCCTGATCCGAACATTTCCTTTTCTGGTTTTGGAGTTATACTTTTTTGAATGGAGCCCTTGTTTGTTATAATGGAAAATGGTATTTTTAGGCTGGTTCATTTTAAGGCTGGTTACTATTTCTAGGCCTGATTTCAGTAGACAGAGCTAGAAAATATGCTTTTTTTATTTGTTTGTTTTCCCTTTCTTTTTAGAAATAAAATATTGTGTATTCATATTGATGTTTCTAATTCAAATCCAGAATTTATATTATAAAGTATTGTATATGTTGCGGGTGTGTGTGTGTGTGTGTGTGTATTTCTGGATTTGAATTAGAAACATCAATATGAATACATAACGTGTTTTATTTTATGTGTGTGTGTGTGTGTGTATAAATTCTGTTGTTCTTCGATCTATATCTGTATCTTTCTCCTGTGCCTTAAATCCCATTTTTAATGCCAAAGACATAATTATTTGCTATTTTCCCAGCATGTATAATATATATGTAGTATGAATAGCTCAGAATAGTAATGTTCCCACTGCTACAACAATATTGAACAGTTTTGTTTGATTTTTGTACTGGCAAGAGAACTAGAAAGAGGTTTGTTTGTTATTTGTTTGGTACTAGTGATTAAACCAAGGGCCTTTCATATGCAAAGCGCATGACTTTTCACCGAGCTGTACCATTAGCCCCTTACAATCAGTGTACTGTTAAATTTTGTTTTGCCCTTATAGAATATATCCCACTAGTGCTGTATAGGCAAATCAACTTGAAGTAGATTTTAGAGTGGAAATAAATCAATACACAGTTATTGTTACTCCTTTCTTCTTCTTCATTTTTTTTTTTTTTTTTTTTTGCAGTCCTGTGGTTTGAACCCACGTCCTTGCACGTGCTAGGCAAGTGCTATACCACTGAGTTATAACCCAGTCCTTTTTAAATTTTATTTTGAGACAGGGTCTTGCTATGTTGCCTAGGCTGTTCTTGAACTTGCCATCCTCCTGCCACAGCCTCTGGGATTATAGGCATGACCACCATGTTGGGCTGAGATTGTTATTCTGGAAATTTCTTATTTTTATGTATTTATTTAGGTAAATGATAGCATGATATGCACACGTTTTTTTCCCCTTCTTTTTTTCTTTCAGCATTACATCCTGTTGTTTCCTCCATAGCAACATCTAGAGCTCCTTTTCCTTCCCTCTGCCATTTTGTAGACCTCTGAGTGGATAGAACAGTTCATTCTTCCAGTCCCTGTTGATGGTTATTTGTGCTACTTAAGTCATCTGTTGTTATAACTGGTGCTGTAGTGAATAGCCTCTGCATATTGACTTTTGTATATTTGCCATTGTGTCTTTGCATCTGTTCTCAAAAGTTGGGTAGCTGGCCTGGAGGGCAAGCAAATGGGTAATATTGATTCTCCTCTGTCATTACTGAGATAGATGAGCAACGGGGTATCCTTGTTACTAATTTGCATTTCTCTTCTCAGCAAGGGGGTATCCTTGTTACTAATTTGCATTTCTCTTCTCAGCAAGGCTGACCATTTCCTATGATTTAAACCATTGCTAGGGCTAGGGTTGTGGCTCAGTGGTAGAACACTTGCCTCATGTGTGAGGCACTGGGTTCCACCCTCAGCACCACATAAAAATAAGTAAATAAATAAAAGTATTGTCCATCTACAACTAAAAATATTTAATTTTTTTTCTATTTTTTTCCTGCTTACTATCTAGTTATATTTCTAATGCATTTCTCTTAGGGGAATTGGTCCTGCTCCCCAACAATAAGACTTTTAATTTAACAAATAGCCATTGGGGAGCTACATGCCAAGTTCTATCCTTGGTGCTGGGGAAGCAGAGCTCAGTAGTCATGTTGAAGACCTTTTGATACCAGTATTTATTGTGTTTTAGTATTATTTTAATATTTTCGCTAAGTGTTAAACAGAAATAGTATGGCACACAGTGGAATATTATAAATGTCAATACTGTGTCAAACAAGAGTATCCTTATTTAGAGAGAGTCAGCGCTTCACCCACATTTGTGGACATTGAAGAGTGCAAACAAGGCAGAGGTCACAGCCTCACCCGAGAGCCATGTGGCCTACTGGTGTTGTTTTTTGCCACACAGTTGTTTTAAAAACATTTGAAACCATGAGTTTCCACATACAAGTGAAGATTCTGGAGTTTGGAAGAAAGTGGAGGGTGTCCAAATATTGGTTCCTGTCCCTGCATGGAACAGTTTCTGGATAGGACAGCTCTGTTTCCTGCATTCATCTCACCATGGCACACTTTACTTCTCGGTGCAGAACACCTGTGTGACACTGTCCTACTTCACTGTGAAGCACTTGCAACATGGCTAGTGCAAACAGGGGTGTACATTGTTTTGTTTAATGTGGCTAGTAGACTATTTAAAATTAAATATATTGTTCTCATTGCTGTTGGACAGTACTGTTGCCTCCTTCATTTGCTTAGGTTTTTTTTTTGTATGCAGTCTGTGTACACCAGAGCTTCTTAACTTTAACTCTTAATTTAAAATATCAGACTCACATGCCCAGGTTCACCATTTGCTGAGTTAAGAACGTGTATGTCTTACAAACATTTAACTTCTCGCAGGTCTCTGATGGTCATGTACAGTCACAAAAACCTGCTTACTTTTGTTCTGCCCCAACAGGGAGAGGATGAGAAAGTGGCTGAGGTATTTTAATTTGACAACTTAGAATATTGGTTGTTGAACACTGTTGTTAAATATTTCATATGTTTTTGAGGTTTACCTTCAGTATAGTGAAGTGTTCTTAAGTATACTGTTCCATTAATGCTGATGATTCGTATCAAGTACAGGACATTTCTGTTATGCCAGAAAGTTCTTTTTTTCTTTTCCACAAGCACCCTACCCCCCTCCCCACCCGACCCCCACTCTGTTTCTGTCATCGTGGGTCCATTTTACAATGCTAATTAATTAATTAATTAATTTTGGTGCCAGGGATTGAACTCGGGGGCACTTGACCACTGAGCCACATCCCCAGCTCTGTTTTGTATTTTATTTAGAGACAGAGTCTCTCTCAGTTGCTTAGCACCTCGTTAAATTGATGAGGCTGCCTCCTGAGTTGCAGGGATTACAGGCATACATCACCTTTCCCAGCCTACTATGTTGATTTTTAATGTTAGCCTTAATACTTCATAGTTTTCTCATGGCTAGTGCAAACAGGGGTGTACATTGTTTTGTTTAATGTGGTCAACCATATATTGTTGACCAGTGTTGCTACTAACTCTCTCATTAGTCGCATTAATCTAATAGGTTTTTCAGCAAATATCCTCAAATGAGTTTTCACTATTTGCATATATCTTTGAAGACTTGTTATGTTGGAAATGAATGTGTGTTTCACTTCTTTATCACATAGCTGTTATCTCCTACAACATTTTATGTTTTGTTTTTTACTTATCTACACATGTCCATTTCTGTTTCTCTTTGGATTGTGTTGGTACAGGTTTACTTTGACAGTGTTTGCTGCTTCCTAAACAGAGATTAAGCAGTCTTTCATAATATGTTTTGTGGTGAAATGGTCCTGACGTGGTGTAGGCCACTTTAAATGAGTCGTGGTTTTGCTGTTACTTTTCTGTTGCGTGAAGAAAGAGTCTCAGTAAACCACTGCATCCGTCCCAGGGACTGCCTACTGAAACAGCTCTTTCTAGTACATGCCTCAGTTGTGACCTCTTCATCCCTGTCTTGCAGGCCAAACTTCCAGAGTTGCAGCCATTTCCTTCTCCAGATGGTGATACTGTGACCCAACATGAGGAACTGGTCTGGATGCCTGGTGTTAATGACTGTGACCTCCTTATGTACTTGAGAGCAGCAAGGTAATAGGAATCTGCCCCCTCCTGCTTTCTGAATTAGGACATGTGAATTGATTAGAAGGGAACAAACTCTCCTTTCCCTGAAATTTTATTTATATATTGGGCATTCTCTAACTTTAAGTTTTAAGCCCTCTATAATCAGGGTTCTGATCTTACCAGAGAAAAATAGTTTACCCTATTACTATTCTTCTTACTTGGTTTTGTTCCACATCAGGTTTTGAGCTCTTCAGAAGGAAAACATTTTTTAAAAAATATTTATTTATTTTTTAGGTGTAGATGGACACAAAACAATGCCTTTTATTTTTATGTGGTACTGAGGATCAAACCCGGGTCCCGCCTGTGCTAGGGGAGCGCTCTACCGCTGAGCCACAATCCCAGCCCCAGAAAAACATTTTTAAGCCCTACATATAATCATCACCCACCACCCCTGGTTCCAGTTGAGTAATTTGACAATTCCATTTCAGATTTCATGTTCTCTCTACTTTGTAGTTGTTCATTAATGCCAGACCTGAACCTGAGATTTTTGTGGCTTATCTACATGAAACATTTACCTGTGGTTCTATAGAACTTGATAACATAAAAATTGCAGAAGGGCAGTTTAAATCCATTCTTAGTACATAACAGGCAGAGAGCCTTCCATTGTCTGCACTAAGTTCTGAGACACTGCAGTGTTGCCAGTGAGTAGTACTAGAAAGCACAGCTCCAGGTTCCTGAATTTTGCTTCAGATACTTCTAGAAGTACTTCAGATACTTCAGCAGTGCTAGGCATGGTGTTCCAAGGTAGAGATAAAAATGTGTAAATGGAGTAAATGACTACTAAGAGTTTTTTAATCTCTCAACTTCTCACTTTTAATAGGAATTAATTTTGCATGCCTTCTCAAGTCTTTTTTTTTAATTGTACATATGGAGACTTTGCTTTCAAAAGATTTTAATCAAATCATGTTATATGCATATATAATTGTACCAAAGGAAGTCTCACCTTTATGTATATATAGCAAATGTCAATTAAAAATAAATAAAGCGGGGCATGGTGGAGCATGCCTGTAATCCCAGACTTGGGAGGCAGAGGCAGGTGGATCACAAGTTCAAGACCAGCCTCAGCAACTTAGTAAGACTGTATCTCAAAATAAAATAAAAAGGACCAAGGATGTGGCTCAGTGGTTAAGTACCCCTGGGTTCAACTCCGGGTACCAGAACAAACAAAACAAGCAAGCAAGCAAATCAAGGAGTGAAAGGAAGATCCCTAGAGGAGGGGAGAGAAAGTGGCAGGGGGGAATGGTAATTATAGTCAAATTCCTTGCATGTATGATTTTGTCAAAATGATTCCAACTCCTGTGTTTAATGGTCTAGTAAAAAAAAAAGATTGTAATGTTGTGGGGTATTATGACAAATAGATTATTCATGTGTTCAGATCTGAAATCTTAGTACTATTAAAGCTGGGGAAGAAACAACAAATGAATCCAACTCAAAGTAACATTTCTGTTGCTGGGTTGCTGGGGGAGTTAAGGGTTATAACAGGCATGTTAGGTAGGTTATCATGCATGTGATAGTGGAATTTGGAGGGGCTGAACATGAGCCCTGAAGATCTCTGTGGTGTTGCTATGTGCTGATGAAGCAAAGAATTTCCTTTCTTCCCAAGGAGCATGGCTGCATTTGCAGGGATGTGTGATGGAGGTTCCACTGAGGATGGCTGTGTTGCAGCATCTCGCGATGATACCACCCTGAATGCCCTGAACACTGTAAGTCTTTGAAGTCATCCTGGGCAGAAAGTTCTTTCCCCCTGTGCTAGCTGTAGGGAGAATGTGATGACCATGGAGTGTGAAGAAGCTAGTCATTCCAGAAGTAAGTGCAGTGTTGTGCTGTTGGGAAAGGGAGGTGAGATGTGGTCTTGGCCCTTGGGCTCAAGTTATTCTAGTTGCCAGACTTTGTACTTCAGTGTATCCTCAGGCCAGTGACCTGGCTTCTCCAGGATTGTGATGAGCCTCAAAAGAGGCCTGGTAATAGTGGTTGATACTCACTGAAATCTTATGAACCTGATCCCTGTGTGTAGATAATCTTATTTAATCCTTACGCACCCACTTGTGGTAGGTTCTACTATTAGCACCGTTTTAGACACAAGAAAACAATTAAATCACAGTCCAAGGTCATATATTCATGCATTTAACCTCCTCCACTGTGTCTGAAACCGTGTTTGAAAGTACAGGGAGGAGTACAGAAGAAGCTGTGCTTCTTGGATAACAACTTTTTTTTTCTTAAAGTTTACTTTGGGACCATTTAAAAATTTCACATGATAATAAAACAAGTTAAGTTTTAAAAATAACAACCCTTCTGGGAATAGTGGCTCAAGCCTGTAGTCCCAGATATTTGGGAAGCTGAGGTAGGAGGATAGCAAGTTCAAGGCCAGCTTGGGCAATTTAGGAAGACCCTTTTCCAAAATAAAGAATAAAAAGTGCTGGGGATTTAGCTCAGGGTTAAAACAACCCTGGGTCCAATCCCCAGTATACACTCCACCCCTGCCCCCCCCAAAAAAAAACTTTAAAAAACTGAAGAATGGAAAGTAAAATGAAATCAGTGAGCCTAACCTTTCTGAGCTTATTGAGTTTGTTGCATGATATGCCACCATAATTACTCAATTGCTTTAATGCCATAATACCTACACAGCAGCTCAGAATAGCAGTTTATACTGCTATAAACAATATGATTACTGAAAGCAATTTATTATTATTTTTGGACACTTCATTTTAATCTTAGAATATATTCTAAGGACTATTCTGTAAGCTATATAGGTAGATTAATACATCTTGAAGTTACCTGAAATAATCCCTGTCTATATAGTTGCAAATATGAAATCATCAAATCCAAATAAGTAATAATGAATATTTATGGAATCAAGTTTGATACGATAGTCTGCCTGGTTATGTATGTTTACATAAGACATTAAACATGAGGCTTAGCAGTTCTTCCAATGGTTAACTAAATATAATTTAGTTAAGTACCCTTCACCCCCTTTTCCTTGAGCAGTCACTATAATTGGAAGGGACTTTAGAGCTCATATGTCCTTTCTCTAATTAAATATGAATCCAAGTCTTAGAAGGGTCAGATGACTTTTTAAATGTCCGAAGTCCAAAAAGATCATAGCATAGGAAAGAAAATATCCTCCTTCCCAATTCAGTTTATATGTTTGCTTGCTTTTTTTTTTTTTCTTGGTATCCGGGATTGAACCCAGGGGGCATTTAAGCACTGAGTCACATCCCTAGTCCTTTTTATATATTTAATTTTATTTTGAGACAGGGTTTTACTAAGTTGCTCAGACTGGCTTTGAACTTGCAATCCTCCTTCCTCAGCCTCCTGAGCCCATGTGATTCCAGGCATGTACCAACAAGCCTGGCTGGGAATCTTTTTATTGCACAGTTATACCACACAGCTTGCTGTTGAGGAAATGTACAGAAATTTGATTGATTTTGTTTTGTTTTGTTTTTTAAGAGAGAGTGAGAAAGAGAATTTTTTTTTAATATTTATTTTTTAGTTCTTGGCGGACACAACATCTTTGTTGGTATGTGGTGCTGAGGATTGAACCCAGGCCGCACGCATGCCAGGCGAGCGCGCTACCTCTTGAGCCACATCCCCAGCCAATGATTTTGATTTTTATTCTTGGTTTAATTAGGTGGTTATTACATAAAGCTATAATAGCCTCTTGTATTTTGGAACTTTGTGAGAATGTGCTGTGTTCTAAATAACTGCATTTTTTTTCACATTCCATAAAATACAGTTCTGTACTTTAAAGTAGACTTTTGTATACTTTCTCACTGATTTTGTCTTTTTTTTTTTTTTTTCGGTGCCAGGGATTGAATGTAGGGGCACTCCACCACTGGAGCCATACCCCAAGCCCTATTTTGTATTTTATCTAGAGACAGGGTCTCACTGAATTCCTTAGCACCTCATTTTTTGCCAAGGCTGGCATCGAAATCGTGATCCTCCTGCCTCAGCCTCCTGAGCCACTGGGATTACAGGCGTGTCCCATTGCACCCAGCTTTTAAAGAATTTTTTTCCCTGAACATATATAATAACAGAGCCAGAAGAGACCTTTGCAGTTATCTTACAGATGAGGTAACTGAAACTCAAAGATTGGTGATACTTCAAACAGTTCTTGTGGGTTAGGTACAAGTGTTTATGAATTCACAAGGGCCATAAACTCTTAAAAGAAAGACTTTCTGTTTAGAATTTTGTATAAAAGCTTTATGAGTTGGGTGTCATGGCACCTGTCTATAATCCAGCTGCTCAGGAGGCTGAGGCCAGAGGTTTACAAGTTTAAGACCAGCCTCAGCACCTTAGAGAGAAGAGCAGGTGGGTGCTAGAGGTGCAACTCAGTAGTAGAGCATTTTCCTAGCTTGTGCAGGACCTGGGTTCCAACCCCAGTCCTACCAGGGGAAAAAAATAAAAAGGGTATGAATGGGGCTGGGGATGTGGCTCAAGCGGTAGCGCGCTCGCCTAGCATGCGTGCGGCCCGGGTTCGATCCCCAGCAGCACCGCATACCAACAATGATGTTGTGTCCGCCGAGAATTAAGAAAAAATAAATAAATGTTAAAATTCTCTCTCTCTCTCTGTCCCTCTCTCTCACTCTCTCTTTAAAAAAAAAAAAAAAAAAAGGGTATGAAAAATTCTGCTTTCATAACTGCTGATCAGTTGAGAGTTTTGAGTGATGGAGATTTTTCTGTGTTTAATTAAATGTCTATTTTTGGCACTTTATTCCTATTCTTATCCAAACCCTCTAAGGATTCTGTAGAGTATAATTTTATTCAGAAAGAATTCTAGCTATTTTTATCCATGATTCTTTGTGACATGTTCTTTTTGAAGATTTTATTAGCATTGCTAGAGAGGTTTTGATTCTGTGAGTTTTTATTTCCTTGAAGCTGCCTTGCCATCACTTGATGTTCTTCCTGTCTTGACTGGCCCATGATGTCTCCCGTGTCTTGTGTTGTGCAGAACTGATGCATTTAGCCACTGAAAGGCTATGCACTGTGTGCTTATTTTGTTATTAGTTGAAAAGGTTAGTGCTTCCTTATTGTACTGGCTGGTGGTTTGGTTATAGATACTTCCTTAATGAAAAGTGAAGTTTAAAAAATTTAATGTTAATTGAAAAGAAAAGAAGTAATATGTCTTGCAACTAGTATCTGAAATGGGGACAGTCATGTAGACCTGACCCTGACTCCAGGTAGATACCTTCAGAATTCAGTTGGATTGTTGCATCCCCAGCTGGTGTAGGAAAATTAGGTAAGTGGTATCAGAGAATCACAGAACTGGCCAGAGTAATGACTGGCAACTTAGGAAATCAAGGATCTACCAATTTTTTTGTGTGATAATTGCAAAAAAGTTCAATATTTTTCTATCTTCATTAAATCTATTAATGGAAATAAAGTAAAGTGAATGAAAAAATATTGTGAGACTTTAATGTTTATTTGCTTGTTTTGGTTCTGGGAATTGAACTCGGGATACTTTACCACTAAGCCATATTTCCCAGCCTTTTTCTTTTTTGAGAGAGCATCTTGCTAAGTTGATGAGTTGTCCTCAATCTTGTGATCCTCCTGAGTTGCTGGAATTATAGGCATGCACCACTGTGCCAGGCAATACGTTTTTATTTATTTATTTTAGCAAAATTTGGGATTGAATGAGGGCTTCATGCATGCTTGGCAAGCGCTTTAACACTGAGCCACATCACCAGCCTTAGTGTTTGTTTTGGTTACCTTAGAATAGTAGAAGGTTTGAGCTGTATTAATTTAAATTTGAAAGATATATACATTATATGAGATTTATGTTTTCTTCAGTAGACCATAGATTTAAAACAAGGTAGCTGGTTATGGTGGTGCTTGGCTGAAATCCCAGTGGCTAGAGAGGCTAAAGCCGAAGGATTGCAAGTTCAAAGCCAGCCTCAGCAATTTAGCGAGATTCCATCTCAAAAGAAAGAAAGAAAAGGGTTAGGGACAGGCTCGGTGGTTCAGTGCCCCTGGGTTTAAATCTCTGGCACGCGTATACATACCACGGAATAAACCTATGAGTGGTTAGGCAACGTGTGTGGCTACATTAGAGTTTGTTAAACATCTCAGTCAGACTATTTAAATATATATTTTAAAATAGTTAATATGTGTGTTTATTTTATTTGGCATTGGGGATTGAACACAGATGTGCTCTACTACTGAGCCACATTCCTAGCCCCCTGCCTTTTTTTTTTTTTTATGTTTATTTCTTAGTTTCAGGTGGACACAATATCTTCATTTTACATTTATGTGGTGCTGAGGATTGGACCCAGTGCCTTGTGCATGCTAGGTGAGCGCTCTACCACTGAGCCACAACCCCAGCCCATCCCTAGTCCTTTTTATTTTTTTTTTTTATTGCCAAGTTGCTGAAGCTGGCCTCAAACTTGTAGTCCTCCTGCCTCAATCTCCTGAATCATTGAGATTACAACCACTGCCTGGTTGAACTGTCAGTTTTTTATGACATTTATATGGACCTATTTTTAAGTGTAAAATCTTGGATTACTTATTTTGATTCCTTTTTTTCATCCCTCACAAATGAGATTTTTAGTATGTAATTTTTAAAATAACTTAATGGGTTGTAATTTATGTATGTTTTTTTTTCCCCTTTCTTCTGTTGTATGTATCTTGAAAGTACTGTGATAATCAAGAGACGAAAGCATTTCTAGCAGCCATTAGGGCTGCCTCTTGCCCTTTATAACCTACTTCT